TACAGTGGTACCTCAGGTTACGAACGCCCCAGCATACGAAATTTTCAGGATACGACATGAAATTCGAACATATTTTTGCTCCACGATACGAACAAAAACTCACCATACGACGTTACATTAGTTCGCATTTTTCATTTGTTTTTCTTACTACAGTTATTTTTTTTAAATGTATTACTTGGCTTTAATTTGAGTATGTTTTTCGCGTTGAAACGAATTATTTGGTTTTACATGTAATCGTATGGGAAAAGATGATCCACCTTACGAAATTTTCATGATACGATCTAAGTTTCGGAACGGATTAATTTCGTATCCTGAGGTACCACTGTATTATTTTAATTTATTTAATTTGATATTATTACATACTGTAATAGTATCAAAATAATATTAGATTTCTTAATAATATAAACTTATAAAATAAATTAATAATTTATTAATAAACATGCAAATACCTGTGGTTTTAAAACGTTTCTCTTTTCATTACACGTGGCTTCAAAGTCAGTAACCAGAAAATAATCAAATATTTGCTGAGGACGTTTGGCAATTTTATTTTTTGAATTTTGAAGTATTCTCTGTAATAAATTTAAGCTGTCTGAACATAAAAATAAAATTAATTACTAAATTTCGAAAATACGAATGAATAAATTTAATAAATGACACTTAATTATAACACTTACATTTACACCGTAATGTAGAGTAAAGTATCATTTTTGGTTCTGTTAATTCTTATAATTAAATCATAATTATAATAAAACTTTGAAATTTTTCGATTAAAAACTCAACGAAATTTTTAAAAACTGGGAGCCGCCATATATAAACTAGTAGCTCGGGACGCCCCCTAGTGGGCATTCTTTACAAATTTCCATGAGGCACGGGCACGGTTCCTTTGACTTTTTTGTTCCTATCAATATGCTCTACAGCTCTGTTAAAGTCAGAATGGTAAGATTTACCCTCCGAATGAAGAGGTGGCGACCCCCCAAACCGTAGACCCCCGTACTAACAATAAAGTCAAAGGAACCATACCCCTACTCGCGACCATTCGAGAGATTTTGCGAGATATAAGCCCCTGAAATAATAAATTCCTATTACAAATATACTGAATTATTTATATTGTTATATTGACCAAATAATAATTTATTGGCCAAATGAATAATAAAAAATTTATATTGTTAATTTAAATAAGAATTAAAATTGTTAATTTGAATGTTTGAAATATGACACACGATAGGGGCGCCTCTAGTGTCCGTTATCAAACGGTTACGGGACAGACACCCGTTAATGGGTTATATATATAAAGATATCTATATATCTTTATATATATATATATAGATAGATAGATAGATATTCAGTGTTGCCAATTGACTGAAATTTTAAAAATTAAACAAATTTCATGAAACATGTATATTAGTATATTCTTTTTGCATTTTAATTAAAACAATAAATTTTATTGTAAATAATTTGGTTTATTGAAGTTTAAAAATTCGATTTTTGATTTATTTGTCTATAGAAAATGATATACGATATTTTATATCTATTATACTGTAGAACGGCCGGATGGCCGAGCAGTTAAGGTGATAACCTACCGCTCCGGGGGACTCGGGATAGGAAATATTCATAAGTTAATTTAATATTGGACCGCATATATTAGGCCTCTTGTCTCGCCATCCAATGTCCTATTGATCCAGTTGAAATTATTACATATGATAAATAAGATCTGTGATATTTCTATGAGAATAAAGAAAACATTCTGTAATATATTTATAATGTTTGCAAACATGTAGTAATTCTTGTAAAGGTAAGAGGTAAGATCGGAGCATTCAAAAATGTTGAACATAAGTCCTGACCTTTTTTTCAAAGTTATAAAAATATACAAACAAAATCAATAAAATAAATATTATATTAATTATTTTAAAGAAACTTTAATTTACATCACTTTCATATTATATTTTTTTACGTATAAGATTCAATTTTGAGACTACTTTTGTTGTTTGGAACCGGGTAAAATGGTTCTCTGGATTCCGCTCATCTGGACTGACATTTATAATACATAAAAATGCTAGAAATACGATGATATTCTCTAATTTTTAATGTTTTAAATTTTACGTAAACTATTTTAAAATAAATTATAACTACAAACTGTAATTTAAATTAGGAATATAAAGCGAATACTCGAAAATATTTTAAAAAATTGACTTAATATTTCTTTTCAAATCAAATATTAGATTTATTCTTAATTGAAGTTTTTTGTTCATTATATTTATGCAAAAGAAATGAGTTTTTTCCATAAAATTTAAGCTATTGGAAAGATGTTTTAATTTCGGAAAATTATCTTCAGTATTTAGTTACAAGATCTGTGTACACTATAGTACAGTTTCTTACTTGCTTATATCAAAAATTATTTAGCTATATAAGCACAAAGTTTTAATAGGTTTTATATATATATCAGGTGTTCATCTCTAAATAACAAATTTTATGATAAGAAATGACAAAAATTAACCCTTTGGTTCTCATTGGCGCACTTTTTTAGATACATTGTATAATATTTTGATAAAATAAAAAGAAAATTATCACATGAAAAGTTTCATACAGTAAAACGCCTTATAACATACGCCTTTAATGCAAAATATCTTCAACAGATAATGCAAGACACTTTTAATGTTTTATTTTCTACACAGACAATTTGCATATTTTGAAATTCATTGCATTTTAATCACTACCCATTTGTAAGGACTTTAAATTATAATTTTAAATTTTAATAAATGTAAAGTAAGTTTCTATATCCCATATAATCTTATAATTTATTAGGAATTGTAAAAATAAAAATAATAATAATAATAATTTTAAATTCTAGAGAATGATATAAAATTCTTCATACAAGAATCTAATTCTAATTCCTTGTATGAGAATGAAAATACTTTCTGCCTTTAGTGTTTGTAATTTCATATCAACTTTATCCAAGAAAATAATTTTTTTTAAAAAGTTTACTAGTTCTTTGTAATTAAATATTAATCTATGTATCATTTTAAAATTAAAGTATAAAATCTAGATAAATTCAATTGATTTTTAACTTAAAAAAAAGAAAAAAAACTGAATAAGCTGCATTAATAAATATGTAAGTACATTTGTACAAGGTTTCATATTTGCATTTAGATAGAGTCTAGTCTATTAACGAAGTTTTAATCGGTTATTTCTCTGTGTTAACAGGCAGCTTCTTTCATCACTGTCTGTCTGCATCGGACAAACGTTGATGTCAATGTCCTGCTTGTTTTCAACGACATATATCTTCGATATCCATTTTAGAATCAATCTCGTACCATATTTTATTTCAAATTCTTGGATTTATTTATGAATAGAATCTACATCTTCCTACAATTTGCAAATTATGTGTTTGATATAAAAACATTTGATCTTAATCTGGAAATGATTAAATTTTACTTTTATATTATATTCATCTTACCAATTTTAGATCATTTTTAATGATTTTATGTAAATAAAAGATTATGTGTCCTTGTTTGAAGGTTGTATTTATCTACAGATTAATAATCATTCATATCAAGTGGATACGTTTTTATCTATTAACTAATTTTGATTTTTAAAGAAATTTTTCTTCTTTTTTTTTTGCATAAATGAATAATTAAGTTGAAAATTTTATTCTTGAGTAAATATGAATTTATATAGACTTTCTTTAATTTAAAAAAGCATGAAAAAATAAATAAATAATCATATAAATTCAATTTGATAAACGTAAACACAGATCTGGATCAATACATTTTATCAGTTGAAGAGTAGTTCTATCTTCAGTTGAAAATAAAAAAAAATTGATAAAATGTTTAAATATTTTGCCTTTTTAATGCCGACATTTATAATGATATCGTATAGATAAATTCTTTTTTTTTCATTATAAAAGATCATTTTTACCTTTCTTCAGTGGTAGTTGTTCAGAGGTTTGATTGTGTGTATTTATTAAAATTTCCAAAATAAAATTCAAATTTAAAATTTTGTTTTTTAAACTATATATATAAATATTTTGATTAATTTTAAATATTGACAAGGTTTATATTTAACTAAACATAAAAACTGTATTTATTTCTTTAATGTTTTTATTGCTTTATAAACATACCAAATAACTTACAAGCAATATTTATTAGTATCTGCACGTGTTTATAAGCAATAAAAACTATAAAAGAAGTAATATTATTAGTTTGCCAGGATATAAGACGCCAGTAAAATTAATTCCAGAAAAAATATTTTAAATTTATTTATATTTAATAAATTCTTATATATTTAAAAATACCTTCATCAAATTTTTTAATATATGCTATCAAAACAGTAGTTTATAATTCATTCAAACCATTAAAATAATTATAAATCCGTATAATAAATATATTTGTTGTCGGATATACTGTATAATGATTTATTCTTTAAAAATCGATTTTAAATTTAAGATAAATTACATTAACGTATCCAAACCGAATTACCTAATTACTCTAATGGAAGGCAATACACATAACTTTAAACGAAGGCAGAGAAGTCGAAATCGATGATGACACGAAGCTACTCATAACATAAATGTTTACAGATGTGTGGCTAATCTATACGGTCATATTTGCGAAAAATATAGAATCGAATGAGAATAGAGTTGTCTAGGTTTTTCATAAGTAGAATAAAAATAGCAAAGTCTTCTTTGTTGATATCTTACAAGTTATTTTTGTTGGTATTGATGATAGAACGCCAACAATGACTACGTTCACAGGTACTATTGGATTTATCAAAAGTCTATTTTTATAAAAGTCTCCGAGCGAATTGAGATTACCCTGGTGTATTTCTAAATTGACAAAATATTGGAAATTTCGGCCATTGCCTTTCTATAACATTGCTTTCTTTGATACAATCAATCCTTCAGGTATTACATCGACTAACCCCTAACAACCATTAAATATTAGGACGTCAAAATGACTTCAGATAAGAAATTTTAGTCGAAAATAATTAATATATATATTTTTTATCCAATATGAATTTGTTTAATTAATCCTAAAGTAGTAAAAAAAAGTTGTTAAACAGTTTTTATTTAAAAATTTCTATGAATTAGAAGTATTTACATATTAAAAGATCCTGCATGAATTAATTTTTTTTACTATTTTAGTATATAAATACTTCCTGTTATAATGTGATTATCTCTGAATTGATAATAATTAAATTGGTTATAAATTATCCATAGAGAACAAAATCAAATTATATGAATATTTAATCGTATTTATAGGTCTGAGGCTTCAAAGAACCATTGGTGTGCCAGAGTCGATCCAAGTTGAGAGGCAGAGATTCACATACGCGCGGCATTCCGCCCATCTAAAGACTCATACAGTACTGGAATAGTTTTGCTGAGTCCAGTAATTATCACAAAATGTAGAATACTATATGGACAATTACTTCATTCACATAGAATTCATAGAAACTGCTAGATTTGATTCCATGCTTCCTAGTGTGATAAGTAGGAGTAAAGCTGCCATACGGCCGACATGCGCTATGGATATTATGAGTCTGCTTGTTCTTTATAAGGAATTAACTAGAATTAATAAGAAATGGAAAATAAAATTCTTATTTGACTACCGTGAAAAATCGCGAAGTTTCGAAACATTCCAATCCGGATTCCTTATGACAAATCAAAACGAAGATATTTCAATTAGATAAAGATGATGTAAGTTATAATCAGGTTTTGATCATCGTACGATTGACCAACATCATAAACATTTTGTCATGATTCATTCAGACTTTATTCGATTGTTTAAAAAAGTCTCAGCCAATGTGATTCCTGTATTATTTGGTTTTGGCTTTCCTACATACATCCTAAGCTATGCGTTATGCCACCCATATAAGGCAATTAAACATTGGAAGTATAACTTCATAAGAAATAAATACTCTATACAAATCTTAGTAGCAAGATATGTATATATATATATATTATATATTTTTTATAAAATTAAATTTTCAGATTCATAAAGTTGTAATTAATTTTTAAGAATTAAAAAGCCCTCTTAAAAGTTCAAATCTTTCACTTATTTTCATAATTGTATTTTAAATTTCAAATTATTAGTATAATTTATAATTAAACAAATTAACATATAGACCTATATATGTAAAATAATATATAATGTAATTAAAATTTCATATGTTTATCTAAAACAGATAAAATTTAATTTAAAAAAAGTGAAACAATCAATAACAAATATCAATTCTTTCTATGACAACATTTTTATTTCTTTCTCTCTGCACACATTTTACTGTAATGTTCCAATATTTTCCATTTTTTTTTTTTTTAAATTTATTAAAGGCAGAAGTATTGATGATAGAAAAAGATACAGACAGTGCACAATTACAACAAAATAGTCCAAAACTTCAATTTGATGTTTAACATATGGCTTTGCTACATATATTTACATAGCTATGTCCTATATTTATGCAACCAGTCACATTTTATCAAAAAGAAAAAATTAAAAAACAAAAAATTAGCATCTTAAATATTAATTGAGAATTGATTGGTATTAACTGTAATCTATTATAACATATATGTTATGTAAATACTTTGAAAATTTTCAAGAGAGACTTGTAAATATTATAAAGAGAATTTCCATAGAAAAAAATTTTGCCTCGTAAAGACTCGTCTATTCTTTAATAATGCTGTACTTAATCTGGTATCAGGTACTCTTTTAATAATATGCTGTACAATATTTCATATTTGGGTATCTTAGTAAAGATAACTGTATGCATAATTCAAGAGATAAATTTGTTTTGTAAGTTATATATAATATCACAGTTACAATGCTATTTATAATTTTATATATAGTATATCTCTCTATGACAAGATAATTTTATATTAATCAAACTGTAAATACAAAAACCGCAGCTGCTTGATTTGGTGGGAAAATATGCGATTGGTATGTCACAATTTCAGCTTGTGTAACGGGATATAAGGATGGATTCATTTCTTAAACAACACATGCACACAAATAATCAACAAATCACAGATTTTGTTTGAAATGTATTAAAAAGTAATGTGCTTTCAGCTTAATTGTCCCTCGGAGGTAAGTGATTGGTTGACCTCTGTCGGGCAAAGTTTTTCTGTACATCACGCTCAAACCGTGGCCGGTTTCAGCATCAAACTTTCACATCAGATCACACTAATGTCACTTGTAGCCTGAGATCATCAAAAGGAATTCATATTCCTAATATATCAAGTGAAAAATTCCACAAATATACATCTTTGTCCTAATTTACACTTATGGGCATTTCAAGTCTGTTCTACATATTGATTAACTTGAGACCAGAATACAGGATAAGCCAAAGTTGTCCGAAGGGAATTATTATGTTCCTCTAAAGATGTCCGAGCATAGTGGAGCACTAGACTCTTCAATGTTGGATGGTCGTTGAATGGTTCTGCAAATCCATAACCTTTCTCTGTTTTATTGATTAAACAATGACCAATTTTTCCATCAACCCTGGAAAAAAATAATAAAACTATTCATTTTATATTTGGTACATATTGAAAATATTTGATATTTTAAAATTCTTAATGAAATTAAATAAATGTTTAAATAAAATGTTCATTAAATTTATAAAAGCTTCTTGTTTTTCTGCAATATATTTAACTAAAATTTAAATATAATTACTTAATGTGAAATAAAGTCATAAAACCTCTAATCATTAATAAAATAAAAATAATAATGTTTAAACAATAATCAATACTTGTATCACATATCAATTAAAAACCTTTAATTATATTTTTAAATCCAAGAAACTAAATATTAAAATGATAATCAACTCAAAACTAAATGAGTTCCGAGATATGAATCAAATATGACACTAAATTTTTCAACAGAAAATAATTCCTACCTAGAAAAATAATAAGATATAAATACTGAAATTAAATATTCTTAATTCTATTCATTGTTCTAATTCAAAATTTCATAAAGTCATTCTAATCTTTTTATGAATACCAATTTGATTAATTGAGAAAAAGATTTGTATTGTACAAGAGAATATATTTTCTTAGCATTGTAACAATAACCATCATGTAGCAATGAGTCCTATTTATAAAGTATGATTTGTTAATGGGTCAACTATCATCAAATAATCTAAGTGAACTTTTTATTTTATTTCTCTCTAACTCCTAACTATTGTTATAATGATAGAATTCACAAATGCAATGCATCTTCATTATAATAATTTATGCTCAATGATGCATAAATGCTTTCTTTGACTATTGTTTTCCATCGTACATGATGATTCTTCCAATTATATGCTCATTCCAAAATTTAAATTTCTAAATTGTGGAAAAAACAATGCACTATTTCAGACATAATAATGCTTTTATTTCAATTTGTATAATTTAAGCGAATTATTTTGATATTAAAAATAAATTTAGATGCTACTTACACAATGGATAAAGCATACTGGCCAGTTCTACTGTTTCTTATCAGAAAAGTCCCATTTGCTTTCCCAGCTAAGAGCTTTTCGGCTTCTTGTCTAGAACAATCTTGTAGAAACCAAGTTGATTCATTGTTATGTGGAAGATCATTTTCAGATGACATTGCATCACTAGAAATTAAAATTTTATTTTTTAATAATTTAATTTAAATTTTTAAATAAAAACATTTTGCATAAAAAAAATATGTAGATTTACCTCACAAAATCCTTATTTTCAGTAGAGGGATTTAAAATTTTTTGTATTTTTTCAGCTTTAACTCCATTACCTAACATCCACCTAAATTAAAAAATATATAAATATAATATTTAAAACATAATTTTATAAATTAAAAAATTATTTATCATAAAAAGAATGATAACCTACATTTGACAATGTTCCCTTTGTTTGTATAATTGCATTATTTGGTTCCTCAAGGTATTCATTTCCCTATCTAAGGAATGACAATAAGCTGCTTTTTCTTTTAATTCTTTTTCTAATTGAACCTTGTTCTCTTGAATGGCATGTAATCTTTGAGAAAGCATTTCAAAATTTGACATAATTCTGGAAAAAAAAAAATGTCATAATTAGTCCAATATTCACGACTTTCAATTTATGTAAATTGAATAATAAATTATAATTAATTATTTATTAATTTCTATTAAAATGACACAAAATATTTAATATACTAATGAAGACTTCTGAAACTTAAAATGTAGATTATTAAGCAATATAAAAGAAAATAGGTCATTCAAACAGGAATCTTTTTATAACTTAATTTCTACTTTCCTTGAAGTTATGTTTAAAATTAGACAGCAAGAAGATAATTAATTTGTCACTGCCTTATCAACTACTGCATAGAAGCTTCTTGAAAATTTAAAACAGATTTATTATCTCAAATTCAACAGAACTTTGTTCAAACTGGCAATGTTATATAAATATTTATATAAAATAAATTAAATCATATTTTAGATAACATAATCTAATTCTGAGGTTTTATTTTTCACTACATTTCATTATTTTAATAATTTACGTATTGAATGTTGAAGAGAAAAGTTTGTTTGTTATTTCAATTGGGAACAGTATCAAAAATATATGAGCTGAAGTAAAATTTTGAAGTAAGTTAAACTTATCTATTCAATTATATATTACAATACTCAACTAATTACATTGTCTCATCTATTATTAATAGTAAACTATAAATATAATATGCACAATCTACTGTTAATCAATTTATATTATATTGTTAACAATATTAAACATTCATTCAGTTTTAATATGATAAATCAAAATTATATCTTCAGATTATTATTATTAATATCAATGATATAATGCATGTTTTATAAGCTCATATACAAATTATTATATATAATAATTTTCTAACTCCATTTTGTTGTTTTAAAGTTAAGAAAATATTTCTTAAAGAGTCAAAAAATAGGTTCTTACATGTTTTTAATGATTCAAAGTATTTAAGTATTTTAATAAAGTCTTGATGATATTTTGCTTTTTATCTTACAGTAAACCAAAAACAAACTATTGTAATATTTTTAAAGTTTTGCTATAGTTAATTTTATAGAAATTTTGACAATGAATTTCACATATCTAAATATTTTGTAATTAAAAGTAATTTAAAATTAAATAATTACATTCTCTCATAATAAAAGTTTTACAAAATGCAGTTCTACAAGTTACTGGCTTCATTTCAAAACTTTAGGCGATACAAAAAAAATACATGCTTTGTATGCAAAATATTTTGAAACACAGCCAATAGACTATCCCATATTGATAAACCATTTTTTATTTTAAAATATTTAAGCATAACCAAATAATCAATAATATTAACTTACACTTTAACTTCATGTGGAAGAGCTTCTTGTTGAAATACTTTATGATAATCTAATTGTTCCTGAAACACTGCTAATGTTTCAATGAAAACATCTAATGCTTGTTGTCTGGTTTGAATTTCTTGTAAAGCTTTGTAGAAATTTTCATAGAACTGATCATATTGTCTTGTTTTCTTTTGATATTCTAAATCTATGCTAATTAATTTATTTCTGACCAACTCTACATCAGAAAAATTCCCAACGGCTTCCATCTATCAAATAATTTAAAGTGCATATTTAGTATTAAAAAATTATAGTATTTAAAGTTTTTATGAATTTTTACTCTTACCGTATTAAACCGTGACAGTGGGTAAAGAAGTTTAATATCTAGACTTCTATTATATTGTGCAAGAGATACATTCCTATAATAATTAATTAATTCCACCACAGAATAAAATTTTAAAGGTTCAGAAAATCCATATTTTCCATTTCGATGACAAATTTTAATGAGTTTATTACCATTTCCTTTTCTGAAAATAAATTTTAAAAAATGAATATATACGAATAAATAGACAATTTACAATTAAAAATTAATCTATAAAAATCATTTTAGTAACTATTCAGAATAAACAACAATTACTATGAATACATAACATACAAGAAAACATAAAATAATGCAAGGGGAAACCCTGAAAAACTGAAGGCCAATATATCAGCATGTTTCATCAGAAAAAAAAAAAAACAATAACTAAAATAATAGTTTGTTACAGCTTTTTTAATGTTTCAAATAGAATATTCTGAAAGTCAGATTTTATCAGAATGTATCAACTAATTTAATTTATTCATTACAGAGCAAATAAATATTAAGAGGATTCAAATATATTTTATTAACAATATTATATTTAAAAATTAAATTTCAATTTATATTCCAAATCTTCTGATAATATTGTAATAAATAATTTTTTTAACTTAACTTATTTTATAAATTTTGTTTGTTGTAATAAATATTACTATATGCTGACCTTGATAAGTAAATCAAGGAAAAATTTTAATAAGCATATTTACTATTATAATATTAGCTGTCAAAAATTTTAAAGAATAATCTTATTAATCTCTTATAAATATTATAATTATATTAAATATTTATTACCTTAATGTTAATGTATATTCTCCTGATCCTTTGTTGGAAGAGTCCCTAACTAAAAATGTTCCATCTGGCATATCACGTAATTTTTCATTAACTTCTTCCCTAAACACAATTTGTAAACAAACATTAATTTTATACTTCAAACTAAATAAATGTTACAAAATAAATTTTTAGTAAAAAGTTTACCTAGTAATATCTCCCCAATACCATTCTGCTTTTTGAAGCATTTTAATTCCATCTGTACAATCTTCCACATTTTGACTATTTGTAATGTCTTCAGCATTTTCAAGAGACAATTTGTGATGATGTGGAACTAAAATTAATATTTAAATATTTATTGTATAAAAGTATAAAAAACAACAATAATAATAATAAATTTTAACATTTGTTTTTAAAAATAAAACCAATTAGTACAAACATGTTTAAAAGTCCAACAATACTTTAATGGATTAAAATGTTTTTAGTCAGTTTAACAACTTTCCTCATATAAATTCATATAACAGAAACAAATAGAACAGAATGTTAGAACACATGTTAATTTAAAACCTTTTATATTTCATTTATGTTACATGGATTTACCTGAGAAAGAGTGATTACAACAACTGAAAATGTTTGAATCTGTTAAAGTATTACTAGACTTTTCAAGGTAATATTTATATTAATACTTATTCAATTTATCTTTACTGTTTATAAATAAAGCCATTAAATTAATTCAGATAAAATAAATATCTTAAACAATACATATACACTTCACATTTTCTGATAGATTAAATTTATTTTTAAATTTAAATACTTCAATTTATAAAATTTAATACAAAAAATATTAAAAATTTACAATTTTAGTTATCTAATGTATTCTGTGAATTTTTGTATTCGTTCATTCAAGTTATTATACGTGACTACAAACATCTGTATGATGAATTAACAAAACTTTATGACTAAAACTAGTAATTACTTTTGTGCAAATTATATTTTATTTTTAAGTATCTAAACTGTACATATTATTAGTCATTATAATTTATACTACTATAATATAATAAATTACAATAATTATTTGTTTTACTGAAATATTTGCAAATTTTGTAATAGCTCTCCAAATTTAAAAGAGTGTGGCAAAAACTAAATTTTGTTCTTGTAAATTTCATATAATTTATGGCTTTCCACTATAAGTATATAATAAAAGATAAAAAAAATTGAAAGGAGTCTAAACACCAAAAGGCATTTAGAATACTTAAAGGGTCAATGACACTAAAATCCAGACAATGTAAAAATCTGGACAAGATTTTGTCCATAAGTTGTCTGGATTTTTCATAATTGTCTATCTTACATAAGTATATTCAATACTTACAATGTGTTGAATCAAATTCTGGTAATTTTTCTCCCCAGTCACATTTCAGAAGTAAGAGTTCAACGACACGAAAATGAAGTTCAAAATTGGATACTACTTCACTAGAATAATATTTTTTTTTATATAAATGTTTTATCCTTTTTTTAACAATGAAATAGTCATTATATATAAATGTTTACCTGATTCTTTCCCAAGGTGGCCTAATAAACACANATTCCAAATCTTCTGATAATATTGTAATAAATAATTTTTTTAACTTAACTTATTTTATAAATTTTGTTTGTTGTAATAAATATTACTATATGCTGACCTTGATAAGTAAATCAAGGAAAAATTTTAATAAGCATATTTACTATTATAATATTAGCTGTCAAAAATTTTAAAGAATAATCTTATTAATCTCTTATAAATATTATAATTATATTAAATATTTATTACCTTAATGTTAATGTATATTCTCCTGATCCTTTGTTGGAAGAGTCCCTAACTAAAAATGTTCCATCTGGCATATCACGTAATTTTTCATTAACTTCTTCCCTAAACACAATTTGTAAACAAACATTAATTTTATACTTCAAACTAAATAAATGTTACAAAATAAATTTTTAGTAAAAAGTTTACCTAGTAATATCTCCCCAATACCATTCTGCTTTTTGAAGCATTTTAATTCCATCTGTACAATCTTCCACATTTTGACTATTTGTAATGTCTTCAGCATTTTCAAGAGACAATTTGTGATGATGTGGAACTAAAATTAATATTTAAATATTTATTGTATAAAAGTATAAAAAACAACAATAATAATAATAAATTTTAACATTTGTTTTTAAAAATAAAACCAATTAGTACAAACATGTTTAAAAGTCCAACAATACTTTAATGGATTAAAATGTTTTTAGTCAGTTTAACAACTTTCCTCATATAAATTCATATAACAGAAACAAATAGAACAGAATGTTAGAACACATGTTAATTTAAAACCTTTTATATTTCATTTATGTTACATGGATTTACCTGAGAAAGAGTGATTACAACAACTGAAAATGTTTGAATCTGTTAAAGTATTACTAGACTTTTCAAGGTAATATTTATATTAATACTTATTCAATTTATCTTTACTGTTTATAAATAAAGCCATTAAATTAATTCAGATAAAATANAATTAAAACAAAATTAAGATAACAACTTAGTTCTCCGTCTTATATAAAACATGAAATTTCATGAGATAATTAATGTAATTTTTCATGCTAAAAACATAAATTATCTAAGTTAAATTGATGATACAATAATTACAATGAAGATAACATCAATTAAATAAAAATTATCTCGATATATAAGTGTAAATATAGTTGATGATCATTTGATATATTAAGTTTTATACATTGCTGCAAATTAATCTTCCTCTCATTAATTATTTATTATCGGTTGGTTGAACTACGATTTGATTACGTTTACATGTTTATCTACCAGGCATTTATATATGTAAAATAAATAATTAATGATAATTGATTATATAAATTATTTTCACAAATAAATTAACACCAAAACTAAGAAGAGAATAAGGGAAAAAAAGTGTGTGTACAGTGTCTTAGCGTGGAAACTGCTTCTCTTTTGTCTTTTTTCCTACAATTCTTCAATTATTTGACGGACTTAAAAATAATTTATCTTACTGATAATAACATTTAATTATCTTACAAATAGAATTAATGAAGATTTTAGAAGGGAAAACAAATTAAGATAAACTAATCTAAAAGAAGACGATGAATAAAACAAGAGCTAAAAATAATTAACTTAAGACGTTTCCTTGTTAAAAATAATTTTAATTTCTTAAGTAGATATCGAAACTTATGCAGTTTTAAATTAAGAATAACTCTTCATTTTTCTTTGATAAATTGTTTATTTACTGTTTACGTTACAGAATTCTGCACGTAATTTTCTTTGTGATAGATGGAATCATAATCTAGTTCTAGTGGGAAAAAACAAGTATTCCAGTTAACTTCATATATTCACTTTTAGAAAGAAAACAGAGGATATAACCCGGTAAATTGACAATTGAGCTGTAAATGAAGCTGAGGTAAAGGTGAATTTGTTGTTGTATGTGTGAGGCAATGGTATAGAAAGTTCTCAGTAGTTGTATCATTAAGGTGTAATAATTCTGACAAAACAAAAATGGAGTTAGATTATTTGAGAAGTTTAGAGAACAATAAGGAAACTTTCATCGATTCTTCTTATCTCTAAATTCTTTTACTTTTTAATAATAGACGATCAAATTTCGTCGTTTTATTTCTGTTGATCGATCAGATATGACATCAAACCTTATTCTTCATCATTGAAATTATTATTCTATAATCAAATAACAATAGTAAACCTCTTGTTTTCCGGATCATCTTTCGTGCATGAGTAATAAAACGGGATATTCCTGTCAAGAATGTGAATTTTCATCAATTATAATCTTCTGTACGAATGCGACTTGAATGATACCCATACAAACATGAAGTCTATATTATTTAATTGCAGGAAGTACAGTACATTCAAACCTCTTAACAACGGCTACTGACAGCAACATAAAAACTAGCCATTGTTTGGAGTTGGTCGTTATTAGAGGTTCGACTGCATTAAAATTTGTACTGAAACTTACTAAAGTTTATTGATTTGTGGCTTGGAACGTTTTTAAACCGCAAAATTTAGTTGATAAGATGTATCTCGATTTATGAGGAAATTTATAAATCATTAAATTTATATGATGCACACTAGAAGTCTATATATCACTATCAAATTTTAGCTGATTTTTGCAAAAATTTGCAATTCAAAAAATTATATATTATGATAGACAAGTGTATTCTTCAGCATCTGCATATTGTATTAGAAATTTACAGTCCCCAGAATATAAGAATTGGAAACGTACAAGTCATAAATTTTTTATACTTTGTAGTAAAAATTTTCAAGTCACAAAATTTACATAAATTCTTATATAAAATATGAAAATACAAAGTAAAAATTATTTGATTTATTATAGAAAACTGGAAACAACAAAATCCGTTTGAATTGTTATATGGAAAAAAAAATTTCTCAAAATTATTTTTTTAACTTATACCGATTAAAATTTATTATTTACTAATCTAGAGAATGGGTCAAAAAAAATTAAAATATTGCTCCCTTATTCAGTTTTTAAAAACTAACTTTGTAAACATCCTGTATTTATGAAAATTAGGAGAAAAGATATAAGAATAATTTTTAATGGGGTTAATTGACTTTTGAGGGATGATAAGATTCGTACAATCTCCCTTAATTTGCTGCATTTCTATATAAAATATATTTAATTTGTGATGAAAATTTTTAAAGTATTATTATTTTGCGGAATTTATTAATTGTAAAGTTTTCAAATTTTGTTCTCAGGATTTTATTCATTTTTGCCCACTAGTAGTCGAGTGGATAAACCACTGAACACTGGTAATTCGTCGTGGGTTTGTGCCTCACTAATGGGCTGACCACGTGGATTTTTTCGGTTTTCACTTCTTTAACATCTGAATAGGAACCAGTTTCCCACAGAAGATTCTCCCGGGAGGCATCCCCACTTGAAAAGTTTGCCTTTGTGTTGCCTTATCACTACAATCCATTAATTTTTTAATTGAATTTATAATTATTATATCTGATATATAGTACAAAATATAAAAATTTTACAGTATAATTTATTACGTTTTAAAGCTATAAAGTAAAATGTAGGAATATCGTGATAAAAATTTACTAAATTTAGTGAGTAGATACGAAACTTCCACAAAAAACGTTTAGTGTATAAACCACAAAAATTCCCTAATTTTGATGGAAAACCAAGCTACAGAATTTACGCGAATTATTATATAAAAACATTATACTATAGAAGAGTTGATTGTTGTAGAAACTCACATAATTTAAGGTTACATTCTACAAACCATACGATTTATTCGATTTGTAGTAACAGCCGAGCATAAACTGAACTGATTTGTGTAAGAATTTACAAATTTAAGAACTTTATACTGGAGGAAATTTACCTTTTAAAAATTTAAATAATTTATTAAACAAAAAATACCTACAGAAAATTTAAAATTCGCTTTTGATTTTCGTATAAACTACAAAACAATTTTAAAATGGAAATTTACAATATATAAAATTTAATTCGTGTTATTTATTGAAAATGATAATTTTTAATACATATTTCTATACCGAATTATAATAAAGTTAGATTCTGATAATGAGATAAAAATCTCTTAAAATTACAAAAGAAAATAATTTAAACATTATATTTCCTATTTTCTGCATGGAATGTTATTCTTAATATAAGATAAACATAAAATTCGCAGTTTAAACATGACATTTTAAATGATCTTACACCAAGAAATGAAGATAAATTAATCTCACGGGACATTCATTTATGTCTTTTCTGACAAATCAACTGCTACGTGAATCATCATCATCATCATCGCTTTACTTGACGTATTCAGCATGCAGAAATAATAAAAGATAAAAAAAATATAAAGGAGTCTAAACACCAAAAGGCATTTAGAATACTTAAAGGGTCAATGACACTAAAATCTATACTACTATAATATAATAAATTACAATAATTATTTGTTTTACTGAAATATTTGCAAATTTTGTAATAGCTCTCCAAATTTAAAAGAGTGTGGCAAAAACTAAATTTTGTTCTTGTAAATTTCATATAATTTATGGCTTTCCACTATAAGTATATAATAAAAGATAAAAAAAATTGAAAGGAGTCTAAACACCAAAAGGCATTTAGAATACTTAAAGGGTCAATGACACTAAAATCCAGACAATGTAAAAATCTGGACAAGATTTTGTCCATAAGTTGTCTGGATTTTTCATAATTGTCTATCTTACATAAGTATATTCAATACTTACAATGTGTTGAATCAAATTCTGGTAATTTTTCTCCCCAGTCACATTTCAGAAGTAAGAGTTCAACGACACGAAAATGAAGTTCAAAATTGGATACTACTTCACTAGAATAATATTTTTTTTATATAAATGTTTTATCCTTTTTTTAACAATGAAATAGTCATTATATATAAATGTTTACCTGATTCTTTCCCAAGGTGGCCTAATAAACACATGACTGAGATCTTGAACAAGAGTAGTTGGTGGGTGACGGAAACCATTTTCATATTGTAACTGACATATTCTACACAAATGTGCCATCACAGTTTGTAGAGTCAATCTGTGATGGATGGGTAACTGCTTAACAAGTTTTTTTAGAGATAATATACATTGTTCTGTGTTGTTATTTTCTAAAATAAAAATAATAAATAATTACATACCTTCAATATTGATAAACAAACTTATAAGCTTTCAAAAAAGATTTCTTATTCTAAACACACAACTTGTTTATTTTGCTATAAGCACATAACTACGAATTTTATATGTAATTATATCATATAATTTTTTGTCCAAGGTTACATATATTACATGATACAATACTTTTCATCCTTGATATTTAATGTATATATAAAGGTTTAAACTTGTACTATTCTGTTTATAATTCAGACTTACTTGCAATTTCGAGGAACATATCATAATTCTGTACAGATAGAATAGGATTGGGAAGCTCCCTTAGATACTTTTTAAAGGCACTGGCAACACAATTGATATCATAATTTGTTAATTCTGCATTTACGTCTGTAAATGAATTATATATTTCATTATTATAAAAATTATTTTGTTATATCATTTAGTAATATAAATTATATTACCTTCACTAAGTTTTTGCTTTAACTCCGCCACAATATTTGGAGAGATAGGTTTTCGATACATATGATATAAATCAACACCTAAAGAAAAATATAATTATTTTAAAAATTTTATGTTAAAAATATACACATAAATTAAGATACAGAATTAATATTTGATGATGATAACATATTTATTAGATAATTGTAGTATAAAATAATTGAATAATTATCATCTAACTTTAAAATATTAAAAGATACTTGACTTTTTTAAATAATGATAATATATATAATTTTCAAAAATTTTATTTTATTTTATGATTAATTAATTGATATTAAAATGATTGTAGTACTGTACATAGAAATATTAAAATAGTAAATAAATATTTTTAAAAATTATTGAAATTAAAATAGCTGGAAAGTTATTTTAGCAGATATTATTTTTTCTAATATCTAATTTGTATTTACATAAAATTTATATATTTCTTATTATTTGTATAAAGTTCAATTTTTACTTCTTTATTAAACTTTTCCTCATTTGTTTTTGTTTTTCTATATGCTTATTTTAAAATATATAAATTTATATGTTATTGATGCTTACCCTTCATTTGTTTTGCACGCTTTTCAATTTCTTGAATACATCGACAGACTAGTGAAGGTGATGTTTGTTCACTTGGATTAAATTGTACAGAAAGTTCTTTTCCAAATACTAGAAAAAAAATTAAGGATTTTTTATTTCTCAAATATTTTGCATTTACTAATAAAATAAATATTAATTAATGTGCATATTAATTACACTTTTTAATAAATTAAAATAGCTGAATGGAAAATGATGAAATATTATAATTAGGTATTTAATATAGTTTGATTAACCTTCTAAACTAATAAAACAACAAAAAAAAAATTATCGTCATGATCACTCATAAAACTGCCTACTATTAGCCTTCACTACTATTAGATAGTTCTAAACATTTCTTTACAGCACAGAAAAGCTAGGATTGGATGGATGTCCTTGGAGTTTTGCCACGTTACATATTTATGACCTGCCACCCTTTGCACCCCAGATCGACAGTGATAAACAGAAAGGGTTAATGATGACCTTCAGAAGTTCTAGTGGAGAACAACTAGCTCAAGGTTGAATTACACATTGAGAGCATAAATTGTATTTGATTTATTGATTTCTTTAAAGATTTTTGTTAAAAGAAAACCTTTGCTAATCTTAACTTCTTAATACAGTCTATTTTTATTTTAAAATTTAAATATTTACCTGATGCTGCACTAAGCCTCCTTGGGCTATCTTTATTTTCTGTATATATTGGAGGTGGGTCATGGGTACAGGGATGAGGACAACTAAGTCTACACACTGTAAAATTAATTTGATTCTTTTGTAATTATAACTATCATAGTTTATTGGTTGAAATCAAATTATCAATATTGTTAAAAATTTCTAATCATCTATTTATTAATCAGCTTACCTTGACACAAAATATTTTGATACAAAAAATTGTTCAAATAAGCTTGGCACTTTTCACATGACAAAGGAGGTGGAAATGTATGTTCAAGCAACTGCTGTTGGCATCTTGGAGATGCTAAAAAATAAGAAGATATTTTTAATGAAAAATAATATTAAATTTTATATTTTTTAAAATTCTATAGGGGAAAAAATACCTACTTTCCCCATCTGTACAGGATTCATCAATAACATTCTTGGTTTCTTCCATAGAACTCTGAAATTATACATATTATATAATTATTGTTTCATGTAGTATAAATCAAATTTAAAAAAATGAATTTAAGGTTTTAAGACTTAAATTTAAGAAAGATCAAAAGTAAAATATTTTAAATAAAAGAAGAGAAAGACTAGTACAAATCAATGAATAGTAATACTATTTTTCAATTTTGCTTATCAATTTTAATAGAATAATATATACTATATTTTCTACTAGTATTTCTGACATTTATGTAAAATTAACATTTAACTTTCTTGATAAAATTACAGTAATCAGATCTTTTTAATAAATTAGCTTTATAGTATTTTAATAATGATTACATTTAAAATACTTACGTTATTTCTGGAACAGAATCCATCTACACATAGAACTAGTGCTTTTTGTTTAAAATCTTCATTAATGCCCATATTCTATATAGAAAAAAAGTAAATTCTAAGAGACCGTGTCATTTTTTTTTAGTAGTACTATTTATGTATACATAATATTTATAATAAACATGTGTATATTTAAATTTTATGCTTGTTTGATTAACCGCCTTGGGAATTTAGTCACATTCAATCTGTTTACCATTAAATAGTTGCTCTAGTTTGTCTAGCCATTGAATAAACAATCGACCACGTGGTGGACAAAACACGTGGTCGATAAATTTCCTACCAAATGTGTTTGCCACATCGTGGCGCCCCGATCGGCACTAGAACATGTCGTTTTTGATTAACTTGTCCCGAAGGTGGTGATTATGCAAGTATTATTATGTGTCCTGTCACGGCCAATAGAACGTGCAAAACGTTGGAACTTCGCCAACATGAATCACATTTCCCAGAATTTACGAGACTTTTAATATTTATAATAAGAATTTTTTTTTTCTCTCGGTAATGACTCAAGACTAGGCTTTAGCAATTTATTGAATTCCGCCTTTAAAAACTATTACTAATAATAAACTATAATTGCTAACAATTTAGAGAACAATGATTGATAGTTACGCTCGAATTACTTAAGGAAAAAGAAAGCTTTTTTTTTTTAATTTCCCCATTTCCCTAAAAGTTTAATTTCTTCATTAGTAAAATAAAAAGAAATCCATAAGAATATCTATTATGAATTTCTTATGGATTGATTAAGCGCATTAAAAATTATAACGAACACATATTTGAAATACAACAATTGATTTTTAGAATTTATAAACCTGAGGGATCTTTGATAAATTGACCAGTTGCATGCATTCCGGTCACAGAGTTGGAAATAAAAACATTTTGAGTATTTTTTTTGAATCGAGGTTGCCTAGATATATCAAAAGCTCAAGCGCCGTTGCTAGGCGCCGTACAGGAAGTGTTGCAGCTATCACAGCGCCGACATCTTTTACCAAGGGCAATGCGGACATTCCACCCCCTTCCCCCATCCTTCCAAGGACAGAGAGGCCTTGGGGTATGTCGTACGCCGCGGCATGCAGTCGAGCAACTGACAGACCCCCTGTAGCAGACATTCAATTCTGGTTATCCTTTGGAAACTAAAGGATGACGTTGTGGTCACGTGATGCCCGTCACACAGCGTACTACAGCACCACTGTTGACATTTTAAGAATAGTGTTTTTTGATTTTACTCTAGTTGTTTGGCTTTACTTTCATTTAACCAATTAACAAAATAACGTTTAATTTATCAGCAAACAAAAGATTTAAAAATACGACCAGGTATTCTCAACGTAGACGTAAACGAAACTATACGTTTAAAATCTAACTTAAGCGCTCTTTGGATCAACACGATTTGATGCCAATAACCGATATTCTATACACGCTGCGCACAATAACTCTTACCTAACTACCGTACATCTACCTTAGTTTATTTTGAGTAAACGTAGTTAAAATCCTTTATCACTGCCAGATTGTAAAGTGTGAAAAATACAAAGCAGATAACACTTATCTTAATAGATAATTCAATTACTCGAGTTTGATGGAATTGGTAAAAGTTTTAAAAATAAAATGAAAAAGAATATTTAAGAAACGGCATAGATATAGAATTACATTCTTAATGCTTATTACTATTCTTATAATTTGGCACGAGGGTCCGGAAACAATTTAGTCCTTTAAAATTATGCCTTATACTTCTAAGAAAATAGGTTTTTTTTTGTAATTTAAAATTCTTTATCAAATTGTATATTGTATTATATTAAACAGTCATTTTTTAAAAAATTTTGCTTATACGAAACTATATTCATATGTAGAAAGGCACACTAGTACCACGTTTCATATACATAACGCCCTAATTATATGCTGTTTCCTATATAATCCCACATGTAGACCTATTGTATAGACTTACATATAAAAATAAACTATATTCAAATTTAAATTTTACACAAACACCTTTTATACAAAATTTATATTTTGTATTATCATATATTAAATTATATAGTATTAACACATAAAATGAAGTTTTCCATATTTAAAATAATTTTGTTACATCTCTTCTCACGTTTTCTCTTTTTTTTTCTTTACAGTTTTAAGAAATTTATTAATTATTCAAGCATATTTCTGTTCATGCTTTAATATGGAATACAGTATAATAATTTTACTCAAACAGTGTGCATAATTTTATAAAATTTAATAAAAAAACAAGAAAGAAAGCATTTTATATAAATCATAAATCTTTTATACAAACGTAGAAAAGTAAATTATATTCAAAACTACTTTTTTGTAAAAATTCATATTGATTTCTTTTATCGAAAATTCGGATAAATTTAATTAGTATTTGTTTTAATTGAAAAATTCTTCTGAACTGGTTACGTTTTCACATATTTATCTGATTTGCCTTGAGATCTTAATAATTCTTATGAGTAATATAATTGCAATTTTTTTTTCTTTTTATAAAGATTACTTTAAAATCTAATATTTGAAACTTGTATAGCGTCAAAGCCGAAACAAAATTGAAATGCTATCAGAATAGACGATGGTGAAAATATTAAGATGCATCATAAGAGGAAAAAGTTATAAATTTTCTGTGACAGTAAGGATTTCCCCGTTGGAAAATTACATTTTCGATAATTTGAAAGAGTTTTCATAAAAACGATTTTAGCCATTTGTTCTGTCAAGGATAAAAATACATGTAAAAGCTATTAACTAGTACAAGTAGGAATGAAAACGATATAAACAAAATTTCTATTCTGGAAATGTTTCGAAATTCCAATAGACTTGGCATATCTAAATACGTAATTGGTATGGGGAGGAATAAGTCAACAAAAACATATTTCATGAAAAACTGTTTAAAAGGGTCACTAGTTTTATTCTTCAGCAGTTGGCCTCTATATTTTAACTCTTGTACTCAACCTTGACTAAGATTCTGATAGACTTCCAAATTGCTCTTAAACAGTCTTTAAATTTAAGGAATTTTGCGCTCGCTGGCTTTTGTTCGATTTTCGTTTCTGGGACAAACAAATCTTTCTGTACTGTACCTATTCTAAAATAGTTTTTTGGTCGAAGTTATCGCTAAATTCGGTATTCAAATTTGCCGTTACTGAAATCTTAAACGTTTCGGAAACGGATCGGGAATTTCAATTAATAAAAAGTTCTTTTTTTTAAAGTGACCATTCTAGTAAGTTTAATAAATCATTATGAATGAAATAAAATAATATTACGTGATTTACAATGACAGGCAACGAGAAACAAAAATAGGTCAATTAGTTCCTGTAACTTCAATCCATAAAAAGCCATTGAGAAATAGTATGATAATTGGCCGGCAGACGGCGACGTGGAAATAATAACGACGTGTTACATTTTTATTAATAATACAATTGGCCGCTCTCGACCCTAACGTGGTATAATAAACTTAACGTCTTAAAAATAAAATAACTTGATTTTAATTATCTATTTTGAAGCATAATTATTAATAAAATCGAATGCAGTTTTATCATTTTTATCTAAATGATGGTCGCATGTTTCGTGATCACCTGTTGCAGCAGTCACGCAGACTATCACGAACACGGGTCAGGCACCTCTTGATAGATAGTTAAGTATTAAGACTTAGAGCCACCTTCGTTTATGATGTTAGAATAAGCTGAAACAAGCGCTACATTTTCTTTCTTTAATGAAACAAAATGGCGACTGCAAAGATTCGTGACGTCATTATAACCCCATTACCCGATCGAGATAACCAACACTTTTTTTAGCTTATATAAATCTACCAATAGAATGCTTCTATACAGAATGTAATCGGGTCTTTTTACTAGAGTCAACGTTACCCCCTTAAGTTAAGCGAATGACGTATACTTAAAGTGTAATTAGCAAATTACAATTTTTATTATTCCGTTCCAAATCCGAAACGAGACTAGGTCCTACCAATTAATATTCAAAAGGCGGAATAACGTTTCGCTTAAGGCTAAAAGTTTTTTTTTTTTTCCTCCTTACTGATAACACGACATAAGGGTAGAGGGGATTACTTTGTCGAAAAATACTAACGTAGCAACAAGAATATCGAGTTCTTATTCCCATCTTAAGATTTATTCTGGTTTATATACGAGCCTTCTTTATATATTGAGAAAATTTCTATATATAT